AAGAAAATGTGTGTTTTTCTGAATATATCTACACTGGGATAAAAGACCCACAGCCTAGCTGGGAGTGGTCCAGGGCAGCTGACTCAAGCTCACGGGGCTCAGCCGGAAGGACTATAAATCTCTAGTTAGATGTTTGGACTGATGCCTGAGCTCTGGGACCCTCATGGGCTCCAGCTTGAGTCCAAACGTCTGCAGAACAAGTTTCAACTCCAGTTCCACAAGCCTGAATGAACTGACCCATGCCAGCAGTGGGCTTTTTGTCCCTGTCTCAATGTACCCTGGGTTGCTTTCTCTATAACTTTTATAGAGCAAATGATGCTAACAGTAGATGACTCAAATATTTTAATGCACATTGCAGTTTCTAAAATCCACATGCTGAAAAGTGAATGGTTACTCTAACCTATTGGAACTGTGCTTGCCTAATATCCAAATTAATCAGTAACTACCATCAGACTAAAAGCATTTTCCAATACATCAGACAATAAGAATATTTCTTTACTTATTCATCTTTACTTATTACTATAGGTATTTATGTTATAAAAACACTTGCTCTCTCCTAAACTATTTTCTCTCAGCAGTTTATTCTATTGTCAGCTCATAATGAGGAATTTAGAACATCTCAGTCCTTTTATAGCAACAGACTACTAACACCACAAACACAGGATTATGATGTATTGCTGGAAGAAGCAATAAGATGGGATGCAATGAAAGTGATTAACAAGAACACTGCAAAATAATAGCCAAACTTCCCAGTTATTAACTCTATAACTTTTTCAAATAGTGTGCAGTATTTAAATAAATCTTTGAGGAGAAATCAATCAAGAATAGTCATTGCTCTTGGAAATTTTAACGTAGCTATAGCATTGTAATAAAGATATTGCTATTGTTATTTTGCATTGTGACTATGTGTTATGTGCCAACAGTGTAGTCTGAAAGTCCGCATACTGACAAATGATGATCAAGTCATCTACAAAGATAAACCTTGTGTGTTTTACCTAGGCTGTGTCCAGACTCAGAGGTTTTTTCGGGAAAAGTAGCCTTTTTCCGAAAAAACTTCAACTGCGTCTAGACTGCAGCCGCGTTCCTTCGAAATTAAATCGAAAGAATGCGGCTTTTCTTTTGACGGTGGTAAACCTAATTCCACGAGGAAAAACACCTTCTTTCGAAAGTGCTCTTTCAAAAGAAGGCGTTCTTGAAAGCAAACAGGCTTTTTAGAAAGAGAGCATCCAGACTCACTGGGTGCTTTCTTTCGAAAAAGCGGCTTGCTTTTTCGAAATTCTGCGTGCAGTCTAGACGCTCTCTTTCGAAAGAGGCTTGCAGTCTAGACATAGCCCTAGTGCCCCTTCAATGAAATATTATAGTAGCCATGTTGGTCCCAAGTTATTAAAAGGACCAAGTGATTGAGGTAATATTTTTTTTAGACCAACTTCTGTTGTCTGAGAGAGAGAAGCTCTCAGGCTTGCACATGCCTGAAAAAGAGCTATCTGTAAGCTCAAAAGCTTGTACCTTTTTATTGACAGAAGTGGTCCAAAAGATATCACCTCACCCACCTGGTCTCTCTAATTACTCTTCAGCACAAATACAATTTGGGGTCTGCTTTTAGTCATCTATATTTAAAATCACTTAAGCTAGTAGAATTCTTCTACATTTACTCTAATGTAACTGAGAGTTTACATTAATGTTCTGACTGTGTACCAAGCTTCCTCCTCCTGATATTTCAGTGAGGCGTCAATTTATCCCAAGCGGCATCAAAGATTGGGGCCCAATTCTGTCATCCTTACCCACCTCAAACAACATATAATGAGACAATCCACAGAAGAGATTATTATTCAGCTGGAGTAAATGTGTCTGTATCTGGCCCAGTGAGAGAGTGTATTAATTTTTGTGAAGTCTAGAGAGTGTGTGCCTGGAAATTAAATTTGATTCAGTGATGTTCAGGGGCTTATGTAACAGTAAAAATGTTAGGTAAATGAGTATTCTGGGGAGTTATTGACCTCTGTGGAAAAGATCACCATTAAAAGAAAATGCCCACTCTCTTGCAACAAGCAGCTACTGAGCTGTTTGGAAAAAACAGAGAGCATTGATTCCAAATCCAGATGTAAATCTGTGACAGGTTAGCTGTCCCCAGGTGGTAGGAGACTGCAAGAAAGAGCCTAGAAGCAAAGGAAAGTAAGCAATTCTTTCCCTCTCCCCATTTCAGTCTCTCCAAAGAGAGATCAGGGTACGTCTGGACTATAGAGGAAGATCAAAGATGCTGCTGTCTAACTTCTAGGGTTGAAATTAGCAGTCTAGTTAAGACACATCAACCAATAAACCTGCTTTCAAAAGGAATAAGGGAAGCTGAAGGAAGAGTGTTCTTCTTTCGACTTCCTGCAGTGAAGACAGTGCCAAAAGTTGAGTTAACCTACTTTGACTTCAGTTATGCAATTAATGTAGCTGAAGTTGTGTATCATAATTCTATTTTGTCCTGTAGCGTAGACGTATCCTCAGAGTAAAACCAAGGAACCTTAGTCAAGTGTCCATACTAAGGAGTAACTAATACGTGGCTTTCTCAGTGCTCTGGTAGGAGCAGCTGGCACACTGGTATCTCTGGAATCTGAATGAAATATTTTTAAGGTGGAGGACTTAGAAGAGGAGGAGGAAAGGGAATATGCTATTAGAAATCAGAGGATGGGGCCCTTCTAGGGTGTGGTTCAATCCACACTCAATCAGCTGGGAAAGTGCCATGGAAATAACAATTTTGTTGTAGAACAGAAAATAGAAGTGGCAGAGAACTCCATGGAAGAAAAGAAACAGACAAATTAATGATAGTCATGAACCCTCTAAAAGACAATTTGCATTGCAAAAAGCTTAAAGGTAGATGATTGTTTCCTTCTTTACCCATAAGATATTACCTAGAAGATATTTTCAGATCTATTAGCAATTCTGCCATTTAACATTTAAATACACACACACACACACACACACAAAGCTATACGAGGCCTGGAACTAATTATTACACAGCTGCATATAAAGAACTAGATGCAGTAGTCATTCCAGGAACAGAGACAAAGAGTATACTCAGGAATTAGGTTTCTCATAGAGAACATCTGTCTGCCTAGAGTACTTTAATAGCCACACCAGCCCAGTGAAGGAAAGCCCAATAGTTAACACTTAAGAAGATCCTGAGTACCCCAGGAATGATTACTATAGTTGCTGAGACTTGGCTTGAGGCTATCTGCCATGTTCTTTGCTGCACAGCATGACCATAGTAACTGAAAATCCAAAATTTGTCATATCACTCAATTTATAATGTGCATATTGCTGAAACCATGTTAAAATTAGTAATGTAAAATATAAGAGAGTGATTTTGTCACCTAAATATTCAGTTAATAAATAATATACATACAATTGTATAACATTTTACAGTATATGCTTCTGGTTATTATTAGAATGCCTTTCTAGAGGAATTAGTGAAAAATATACAATACATCATTACATCAAGCAGAAATTACAGCCCTCTAGCCTATCTTTAAGAATATAAAAAACAACAAATAGTTTCACGAGGCATACCAGAGTGGTCGACAAAGGCTTCCCTTGTCGACTGCGGCACGTCTAGACTGCCCTGCTGTGCCAATCAGCTGATCGTTGGCACAGCGCGGTGGCCATTTTGATGTAAATAAAGCGGCGATCATTTAAATCGCCACTTCATTTTGCTATGTCTAATAAACTCATCTACATGGCTCCATTGACTGAGCCATGTAGTCTAGACATACCCTGGGGCTCCCCACCACCCTATCCTGCTATGCCAGACAATGCACAGAGTTGAGGTAACTGCCCTTTCTCTGCAAAGCAATGCAGACACTGAACCACTTCAGCTCTGGGAGGATGCAGTTTAAGGGTTCAACATTGAAAAAATCATCCACAAAAGGGATAAAAAGCTCAAATAAATCTTTCTTCATGGAAAAGTTTTACACATGGAAAGCTTATGAGGATGGTTGTCTTCTTTATCAATGAAAGAGAGATATATACAGTGGTTGCTTCCCCTAGGTAAAAATTATGTACATTAGGCCTGATAATAAAACTTACTTTTGTTTACTAAGTACAGACGATAGGATTTAAGTGGTTGCAATTGAAAACAGATGGATCAAAGTAAGTGACTAAATTAAAATGATTAGATAATTCACAGCAAGTTCTTATACACTAAGAAACTTATTACATGCAAATTCTTAACATAAAAAGCCGTTTTTATTTCAGGCAAACACTTCAAGTCAGAGATGATCTTTTACCCTTACTTGGGTCTCCACTGTAGCCCATTAAAGTTCTTTTGTTTTTCTTAGGGTATGTCAAGCATTTTCCAAGGCCACCAAAGACAAAGAGCTGATAGCTTTCCATTGCTTAAATAGACTTTCCCCCAGGATGGGATTCTTTTGTTTGACATCTTCCCTCCTGTGGAAAAACACTAGGTTCAAAATGAATTACAGTACCAAGTCACACTTCTTCCTCAACCGACTGTTTTCTGGACTTACAGGACAAACAAGGCTGTTTACAGGTTGTTGAGTTGATCACCAAGCCAGTAGGCTTCTGGGGCACCAACAGTGGTTCCTATTAGCACATTTAAAACTATAAGCAGATTCACACTTCATATTTCTAACTTCACATACAAGAATGATACATGCACAAAAATAGGATATGCAGAGTCAGCAAATTGTAACATTAAAATTGATAGGTAACATCACATATTTTGTTTAAAGCATCTTCAGATTATGAATATTCATATTCACCAGCCAATTTTCATAAGGCATCGGGGTGGGGGATGTAACACACTAGGAATTGTAGAAAATGAGTAAGAGGGGCAAAGGAACACAAACAAATCTATAGACAATAGGGTTAAGGATAGTAAAAAGGTGTTTTTAAAGTATATTAAGAGCACAAATACTATTGGTTCTTTTTTAAACAATGGTACTGGTCCATTACTCAGTGGAAATGGTACAATTATCAATAATAGTGAAGAAATATTTAATAATTTTTCTCTTCCGTATGTGAGGAAAAGGCAAATTATATAACTCCACTATATCGTGGAGATTTTTAAAAGAGCTGCCTTAGGAGTTCATTGATCTGTTAACATTGGTTTTCAAAAAAGTTTGAGAACACTGTGATAATTCCAGAATGCTGGAAGAAATGTTATATTGTACTAATATTTAAAAACAGGAAATTAGATGATTTAGGTAATTATAAACATGTCAGTCATACATTGTTCCTGGCTAAGATAGTGATATGCTAAGATAGGACTCAGATAACAAAACATTTAAGAATTGTAACATAATTAATGCCTACCAACATGGGTTCATGGAAAATAGAACCTGTGCAACTAATTTGAAATATTTTGATGACATCAAAATTTTGGTTGCTAAAGGTAATCATGTTGATTGAATATATTTAGCCTTCTGTACAAAGTGCATGATTTGGTGCCCAACACATTTTGATTTAAAAAAACCCAGAATATAAAATTAACATGGTGCACTTTAAATGGATTAAAAGCAGACTAACTGATAGGTCTCAAAATAAAAGAGTTATTCTTGTGCAGATGTGTTTCCAATGGATTTCCCCAAGGATCAGTTCTTGGTCCTATACTATTGAATTTTTTTATCAATGACCTGAAAGAAAACATAAAATCATCATTGATAAAATCATAGATGACACAAAAATTGGTGGGGGAGTAATAAATAATAAAGAGGACAGGTCACTGATATAGAGCAATCTGGGCACTTGGTACACTGGGATGAAGCAAACAATATGTGGTTTAATATGGCTACATGTAAACATGTAAACCTAGGAACAAACAGTGCAGGCCATACTTACAGGATGGAGTCTCTATCCTGGAAAGCAGTGACTGTGAAAAAGATTTGGAACTCTTGGTGAATAATGAAGCTGATCTTGAGCTCCAAGTGTGATGCTGTGGCCAAAAAGACTATTGTGATCCTGGGATGCTTGAACACTTTAAGAAGCATGTTGAAAACATAACTTTCAGTGAAGAATGCTCAATAAATTTAGCCTAACAAAGAGAAGGAGAAGAGTGACATGACTAAGGGCTATAAGTACCTACATAGAAAACAAATATTTAACTATGGACTCTGCAGTCTTGCAGAGAAAGGTGTAACATGATCAATAACTAGAAGTTGAAGGAAGACAAATTCAGTCTGGAAATAAGACACATTTTTTTTAACCATGACGGTATCAAGACCATTGGAATAACTTACCAAGTGTCATGGATTCTCCATCAGTGGCCAATATTGGATATTTTTCTAAATGATATGCCCCAGGAATTTTTTCAGGGAAGCTCTGAATCCTGTGTTACACAGGAAGTCATATGAGATGATCACACTGTTCCCTTCTGACCTTGGGAACCTATGAAGATTTTCTTCAAAAATCTACAGTACTAAATAAGAAAGGAATGTGGCTAATTGAAAACCTGAAGGGCATGTTCTTCCTTTCTGAGTGAACCTGAGGAAAAGGCATTCCTCTTCGGCTGAATATATTCGTATTTTGAAAGTACTATCAGGTACATGAGCTTTAGGGCCCAGTTCTTAGCAGGAATACATTGGTGTAGCTCCATTGAACTGAGAATCTGGCCCCAAATAGTTAACCTATGGAACATATTTAAAACACCACTAACATTTTAATAAATTAAGTCTGAAGGGAAAAATGCTGTTCACTTAGGGCTATTAAAGAAATGGTGTGGCATAACATACAAAACCACCTGCTTCTTATCTTTTTCTGCATTTAATGTATGAGCAGTATGAGAATACTGTCTCCTGATGTCAGAGCATTAAGTAGATTTACTACTGTGTTAATGTGTAGTAGAAGGCACTATGTCCTTGTGTACTCTATGTTCTCAGAAAAGTATTATGCAGCAGTTTGAACAGTGTTGTAAAATAAATTCAATTTTAATTCAAAGAGCACAATGCTTACTATAATGATTGTATTTTTTCATGTTTAAGTCAATCAAAATGTCATTTTAACATGTATTTGAAACTGCTACAGAATCTCTACTTTGCTGCATTGGAATACTAAAGAATTCAGAGTATAGATTAAGATTACTGTGACATACATGGGGGGCCTTGTCTAAAAGTTGAAATTTTAATTACGTTATTTTTATTTAATTTAGATGAAGCCAATATTATTAATAACTTGCACATTTACTTGGCATTGCTCAGGTCTTACTAAGGGATTTTTATAAAACAAAAGAACAATGTACACACTTTATTTAAATTACTGTATTTTTCAAAAATACAGACTTACAAGGGGTCAATAACCTCTGCTTGCTACACTCACCTTCTCCCCTCTCTCTGGCTGCTATTGTTTTGCTAAGAGAGCTTGTTGATGCTGCTGACATGATGTCATCATTCTGTTGTCCAGCAAGAACATTCTGTTGTCCATCAGGAAATCTTTTTTCTCTATATAGAGAGATTTTATAAGTTAATTTTATTTCGGATTTATTTAAGAAAGAGATTGTTAACATTTTTCCATTTAATTTTTTTTTAATGTTTTTTAGATGGGCATTCATAGAACCATAGAATCATAGGGTTGGAAGAGACCTCAGGAGGTCATCAAGTCCAACCCTCTTCCTAAAGCTGGACCAACCCTACTAAATCTCCCCAGCCAGAATTTTGTCATGACAGGTCTTAAAAATTCCATCAAATCTATTTTTTTCCTTCATCCCTACAAACTCTTATCACTTGCTATGTATTAACAAAATAAAGGCTTTAGTCACCTTGGTTTCCAGTAACATTTTGTACCTTGGTATGAATGTGTACCAATGATTGCCCTCATTCTACCAAATTTTTGTGATGCCTATTGTACCAATATCCTCCTTTAATATGAGCACTCTAGTTCACCCATCTTTTTACACTTCTAGCATTTGTGTATAAGCACTTCAAAAATTGTCAATATTTATCTGTCTGCCATTTCCTGAAGTGTTACACTCTTTTTCATTTGATCATTTCTCATCTGATTTTACCCGTATTTTATCATCTTCCATCCTCTCCTCCTGACTAGAACATAGATAATCTCTATTTATACAACCTCCCCTAAGAGATGTCTCTGTCCATTCCATGTGCTTCTCCACACCCATCAGCTTTCCCCCAGCTCTTAGTTTAAAAAACTGCTCTATGATCTTTTTAATGTTAAGTGCCAGCAATAAGGTTGCATTTTGGTTTAGGTGGAGCCCATCCTTCCTGTATAGACTCCCCTTATCCCAAAAATGTCCCTACTTCCTAATAAATCTAAACCCCTCCTCTCTACACCATCATCTCATCCACGCATTAAGACTCAGAAGTTCTTCCTGCCTACATCATCTCATCCACGCATTAAGACTCAGAAGTTCTGCCTGCCTACATGGCGCTGCCCATGGAACTGGAAGCATTTCAGAGAATGCTACCATAGAGGTCCTGGATTTCAGTCTCTTTCCTAGCAGCCTAAATTTGGCCTCAAGAACCTCTCTCCTACCCTTCCCTATGTCATTGGCACCTACATATACCACGACCACCTGCTCCTCCCCAGAACTACACATAAGTATATCTAGATATCTCAAGAAATCTGCAATCTTTACACCAAGCAGGCAAGTCACCATATGGTTCTCCTGGTCATCACAAACACAGCAGTCTATATTTCTAATTACAGACTCATTCAGTGTTGAGGACTGTACTTGATTTGGTGATTTTGTCCTTTTTATGTTTGGTTTTATGAGACACAATCCCATTCCAGGCACATCCCATTTTTCTGGTACAACCTAACCTTTACCTTGCTTTAAGTTATAATAACTTAAAGGGAAATGAATACTGAATTTGGTGGTTCTAGCTCTTGCAGTTTAGGAGGAGTTCTTGCTTAAGCAGACAGATACACTCTCAATAATATATAGTTGCTAATAATATATAGTTTTCTTATATATATAGGTATTTGTAATACCTAGGAAGCCATTTTGCTCAGCACTGTAAAAACAGCTAATCTGAGAACAATCCCTGCCTTAAAGAGATCCCAATCTATGCTATACATAATACACAACAGTTGATTAAAGAGGCAAACAAAGGTGAGAAAGGGGATTAAATTTTAGCTTCTTCACACAGCGTGTTGTCAATCTGTGGAACTCCTTGCCAGAGGAGGCGGTGAAGGCTAGGACTATAATAGAGTTTAAAGAGAAGCTGGATAAATTCATGGAGGTTAGGTCCATAAAAGGCTATTAGCCAGGGGATAAAATGGTGTCCTTGGCCTCTGTTTGTCAGAGGCTGGAGAGGGATGGCAGGAGACAAATCGCTTGATCATTGTCTTCGGTCAACCCTCTCTGGGGTACCTGGTGCTGGCCACTGTCGGTAGACAGGATACTGGGCTAGATGGACCTTTGGTCTGACCCAGTACGGCCGTTCTTATGTTCTTATGTTCTTATGTTATGTTATGAGAAGACATGTGAAATGTTTGAATAACTTAGTAGTCAGTGATGATCAATTATTTATAGACCATCAATAGTATGCTTGACACTGTGTAGAACAAGAGAGGAATATGATGTGTCTGCCCAGGATGTAAATTCAGAAATTGTGAGAGCTGGTTGAGAGAGAGAAATGAACATATCATACTCTATGTGGGAAAGCTAATACTATTGTAGAAATCCCTTTTCAGTTGTCCAACATGATGGAAACCTGGGGCCCGTTCAAAATTCATATTTTGACAAGAGAAAAAATGCTTAGAGGGGTTTTAGAAGAGGCCTGACCAAATCTAGATATACTCAGATAGCCTATGTATGAGAGATGATATCCGAGTTATCTAACCCATAGAAAGGTGATCATTAAACACTCAACATCTATGTGAGTGCTCATATAACTATGAAAAAACTGGTTTAGAGAGCAGGAGTAGCTGCCTTGGATCAGGGAAGGTATATCTGGCTTTCCAGTCTGATTGAATGGAATTAAGAAATAGATCCTGGAGGCACTAGGGAGAGCTCTGGACAACAATGAAAAGCTGATATAGCAAATGAATATGTCAACTTGACAATAGGAGTCAAAGCGGGGATTGTTTTCAAGAGATGTAGGCTAATAAACTGAAAATGCCATATCTAGTTTTGAATATGGAAGTCCAATCCAGAGATGTTAAGCAAGCCATTTTAATTTTGATTCAATTTTTTATGTTTTATTAATTCTTTCTTTATTAAATTAGCCACACACTGGTAAACTTAACACAAACAGCCCCAAGTGGAAGATTCTAATGTGCCAAAGGGCAAAGAGTTCTTGGAACATCCCTTCCTTTAACAAGGGGCACAGATAAATGTAAGTTGTGTTGCCATCAGGAAGACAACTCAGCTGGGAGAAGCTGAAACAAGATGAGAGCTAGAAGGGATGTTGCTCATGTTCAGATTTACTCTTGTCTGTGTAGTAAATTTCTGGTTCACTATTACCTTCTATGTAATAATCTGAAGAGTTAAAAAAGGTTAACCAAACCAGCCATCTACCTAACAGAAAGCCAGGGACTCGATGCCACAGAGTGGGGGCCCTTTTGATGTATTATAAATAGAAATTGAAATACAGCCCATAAATAAATAATTTAACTTCTTTAGGCACAATCAAGCAACCATTAATTCATCTGTAACATTCTTGAGGGGCTATAGACAGCCAGAAAATTTAGATTCTCAGGAATGGGAGAGCAGGGCTAAGGACAGTGGGGCCATGACTCAAAGTAGAAAGACATCTTTCTTGCAGATGGTGAGCACCAGTGTTCCAAGAGGAATCCGAACAGAGAAAGCGAAGCAGGTTCCTTCAAGACCAGGAGCAGTTGGTAGAGAGCTTTGCAGTTTGCTTGATAGAAATTCTTCTATATTACAAAAGACAAAAACATCTGCCTTCTTTGTTATGTTTTATAATACATACTATTTAAGAGCCAGTATAATAATGCCCATTTTCATGACTAAAAATATACAACTTATCATATATATAGTAGCCCAGTGTCTGAGAGTCTGTAACACCGAAATGCTGGCTGTTCCCTCTGGGCGGCCCATGTTGCATGGGGAGTGCGGGGCCCAAACAGCCGCTTGCACCGCTTGCTCCCCCACGGCGGCCTGGCTGAGCAGCTCAGAAGTCAGCCGAGCACCACAGTGGGAGGGGAAGAGGGGGCGGGGTGGTGACATGCGGCATGACAGCGGCTCCAGGCCCTGCCCCCTGGCCATGAACATCATCGCCCCACCCCCCTTTGCATCCCGCAGTGGCTCTCGTCTGACTTCTGCGCTGCTCAGCCAGGCCACCGCATGGGAGCAAGTGGCATAAGTGACCGTTTGAGCTCTGCACCCCCCCATGCAGCACGGGGAGTGCGGAGCCCAAATGGCCATTTGGGCACCGCGGTCCCCCGAGTGAGGTGCAGGAGGAGGAGGAGAAGTGAAAGAGAGACAGAGAGATAGGCAGGAGGTGGAGGAGAGCTGGGGGGGGAGGAAGTAGGAGTAGGAGAGAGAGACGGAACGAGAGACTGGAGGCTCAGGAGAGAAGACTGATGTGGAGGAGAGACCTGAAAATCCTGTCTTATGATGGGCTAATTGGCTAGTTTATAATAATAATTCAAGTACAGTCCATCGACGGAGCCATGTAGTCTAGATACACCCATCTTATCAACCATCATAGTTCTATGTGCTCATTTATTGAAAGTGTAACAAATACTATTTTAATAATAAGTTACTAGGATTTTATAGGTTATCCTGAGAAACTGTACCAATATAATATTTTTGCAACTTTGATTCCCAGGAAATCTTGCATATGAAACATTAGCTGATGTACACAAAGAAATCCAGGTGTAAAAGAGGCAAATAATTCTCAATCTATAAAGTTTAGTAGGCCAACTTTTATTATGAGAAAGAACAAGTGTTTCTTGTCTGTTATCATAGAATAATTTAAACTTAAGAGAAAGTTAATGTTATTATATGAAAAAATAAATATCACAAAATGATGATAATGGACAGTAAAGTACGCTAAATTTAGCTGCATGCTGCAGCTCCATTGATTTATGGAACTGCATCAGAAATTAATTTGCCCCATTATACCTAAGCAAATGTTCTACTAATAATGTAATTTAAAGTTCAACTCTGGTTGGTAGCACCGACTTTTCTTTACTGTCACCTACCTTTCTTGTGCCTCCTTAACACCCTTATGGTCAACACGGAACACAGCTGCTAAGATTATTTTCCTTGTTGGTCACTTTGTCCAAATCACCCTCCTTTCTGTGCATCCCTTTACTTGCTTGCCATGTTACCACCACATCCATGTTAGGCTTTTTGGCTTAAGCTTCTAGAGTCTTCATAATTCTCATCTTTGCCAACTCACATCTCTTAACATACTACCCCCTGCCTCTCTTACTTCACAGTGATGATGGAGTAGGGGATTTCATGTCAAATATATCAGTGCTTTTTATTTAAAAAAAGAGAATGTTC